TCCGGATCTCACCTATTCCGTTCATGTTCTGTCTCAATTTATGCATGCGCCTCGCCTTGATCATATGGAAGCTGCAAAACGGGTTCTTCGCTACTTGAAGGGTCATCCAGGACAGGGTATTCTCTTACGTAGTGACAGCTCACTACAGCTATCTGCTTATAGTGACTCCGACTGGGCATCTTGTCCTCTTACTCGTCGCTCTGTGAGCGGCTACTTTATCCTTCTAGGTGGCTCGCCAGTTTCTTGGAAAACAAAGAAACAAACCACCGTGTCCCGTTCATCAGCAGAAGCTGAATATCGTGCCATGGCTAACGCATGTGCCGAGGTACGATGGATCCGCGGTCTTCTTGGGGCACTCGGCATTACTCCACCGACGACGCCACGTTTATTTTGTGATAACAAGTCCGCTCTGTTTATTGCTGCCAATCCTGTTTTTCATGAACGCATGAAACATATTGATATTGATTGCCACATTGTCCGTGAATGCGTTCAGCGCGGTGAGATCGCCACCGCATATGTCCCTACTCGTCTACAAATTGCTGATTTGTTCACTAAGGCTTTGAACATGCCTCTCTTCGAGTTCTTATTGTCCAAGTTGGGCATTCGTGATCTCCATGCTCCAACTCTAGGGGGAGTGTTAGCATATATATTTATTTACTACGATATATGTAATTAGTTTCCTTTGTAATTAGTTTCCTGGTTAGTAGTCTTTTCCATACTTGGAGTAGGACTTGGCACATGTATATATACGTTGTGAATATTGAATGAAAGCAAGCTCAGTTTTTCCGATATATAGACTTGATTAAAGGAGCATATATATATCCAGTAAAGTAACCAAAGGTGAATAATTAAAAGAGTGTATGTGTGTGTGTGTGTATAGGAGAGAAATTGTTCAATGCTCCAAATAACACAATAAGAATGGAGAGAAATTGTTTGAACAACAAATTTCTTCCAAGAAATGGACAACGTATTTTTTTAAACCGGTTTTAAGAATAAGCCATATAAGAAACGAAATCGCCATGGCTGCAACAATGGGGGTTTATTCCATTATGCCTCGCCAAGATACGTTCATTTTGTTTGATGCCTCAAATATTAAAAGCCTAAAAATCACAGAAGTTGTAGAAAATAGTTCCCAAAAAATAACAGAAGTTGTAGAAAATGGTTCCTAAAGAAATAGATCCACAAACATCTATTCTTCTTGGATAAAAAATGATGGAAAAAAATTTATTCGAGAACCAAAAGGATATTTAAAAATTGAATTATATAATTAAAAGTTTAAAAGTTTAAAAGTTTAAAAATTGAATTATATAATTGATATATATATATATATAGATCTAATAAATACATATATAAAGATCTAAAGAATATATAGATCCCGTAATGTAAATCGGAAGATATATTTATTCGATGAACAAAAAACAATAAATCACACGAAACAAACCTGGATTTGTTTAAGTGAAAATAAGATTAAATCAAAATTGTGCCCAAATCGTGCAAAAATTCGATGTTGAACAAACCAAAGTTGGAAATAAAACCATACATGTATGCATCGCCAAAAACAATCGGTTGGTGGGAGATATGTTAGAGACAGATCCAAAAATGGTAGGAGAGTGGCGACACGGAGATAAGACAGAGATGAACGAAGATGAGAGGTAGAAAGATGGTGGGAGAGAGCGGCGGAAGAGTGTTAAGGACGGAAGAATGGAGTAGTAGGGTTAGAAATAAGGCATATATATCAAAATGCTATTGGGCCAAGGAAATAATTGGGCCGGACGAAACATGGGCTACTAAATATTTTATATATTATATACTCCTTCCGTCCACAAATAAACTTTCCGTTGTGCGTTATAATATTTGACTGAAGTTATTTTCAAATCATTTTATATGAAAATTGGTGTAAAATTTAAAAAATAAAAAATTACATATTAAAAGACTATATCAAAAGATTTACAAAAATAACAAACCTAGAGGTGACATAACTATATTATTTTATCAAATGAGTGACGAAAACAGGGTAATAAAGTGAATAAAGTTTGACTCTATGAATAGTAAAAGGGAAATTTATTTGTGGACGGAGGGAGTATTAAATTTTAATTATTATAAAAAAATAATCGTGCATTAATTAGATAAACAAATATTTTTGTTTACAAAAAGATAAACAAATATTTTGACAGATTTGATAAATTATGAGAAAGAAAGAATTCGTAAAAGATAAAGAAAGAAAGATCCATAGAAATGAAGTTTGAAACAAGAATCTTACATCCATAAACGAAGATCCATTGAACGGCGGCATAGAGACGGAGAGGGAGGAAGTGAGATAGGCGACGGCGAAAAGGGAGCGACCGAGAGAGAGAGATTCGGGTAGAAAATATATTTAGGTTTTATTAGTGGGCTGGGTTGAAGGGTTGTAGTGGGTTGGGTTTATAAAATTGGACTGGTGAATTAGTTAATTTTTTTTTGGAAGGGGCTTAAATGGGTTTGAGTATATTCAATTCTGACCCAATTTAGCTCGGGTTTGGACTTAATTTTGATGGGTCAATTTCACATATTTAATTTTTCAATTCAGATTCAATTAAAGATTTAATCGGGTTGGTTGCAGTCAAATAGGGCCATTTTTTGTTTTTTTATTTAACATGTTTAAAAATTTATTTTAATAAAATTCTATTAAAAATAATATATTATTTTTAATATATTTTTATACATGTTGTTTTGATGAATTTTTGTAATGTTAATTATTTATATGTCTATTTTGATTATGACAAATGTTAGTTTTTTGTTATGAAATTCCAAATTTAAAACGATAAATATTAGCAATGTATCATTCACTACGTTTACAAAAAATGGACAACGTATTTCTTTTTATTGTTAATTTTTAAGTAAAACATCATATTTGTATGCATATAATGATTATAACGAATGTTAGATTTTTGTTATTAAATTCTAAATTTAGAAGGATAAATATTAGCAATGTATCTTTCTCTACGATTGTAGTTTATAAAGAAGTGTTCCAAAACTTTTAACACTTCATATCGACTTTGCTCATTACTGTATAGAATTCCCTTTTGGGGAATAATATTAAAGAGTAAATTCCATAATTAGTCCTTTATAACAAGGGGGTTTCCATATTTAGTCCTATATTATCAAATATTACTCCCGTAGTCCTTTTTTTAAGGGTGCCTTTCCACAAATGGTCCTTTTTTTGATCTTCTGCCATGTTGGTATTAATTTAAAGGCTAAAAGTATAATTTGACATTAACATTATGTCCAGTGACGTGTTCTAATATTGGTTAAGCGGATAACACAAAAATAATGACTGTGATTGTGGGCTAGGCTTCCGACGAAAGACCACATTTGTAGACAATGATTGTAGTAAAAAGCGACTGTAATTCACAAACGCGGAAACGGAACAGCCTTTGGAATTGTGTATGACAAAAAAAGATATATTATCATTGCGAAATCACATTTTTAGCCCTCAAATTAACAGTAACATGATAGAAGATTAAAAGGGGACTATTTATGGAAAGATACCTAAAAAAGAAGGACCACCGGGATAATATTTGATAATAGAGGACTAAATAGGGAAACCCCCCTGTTATAAAATACCAATTATGGAATTTACTCAATATTAAATTATGTAATCTTTCCGGTTTTGTAACATTTTTCATTATTCTAAACATTGACTAAATATATGTAAATTAACAGCCCGTGCATCGCACGGGTACGAGTCTAATAGTAAGAAATAAAAATAAGTTGAATAGAATCTTAGAAATGATCTAAATTAGATTTTTTTAAAATTAAAAAAATTCAGTAGTATTACCAAAAACCAAAAATCTGGTAGTCTAATGGTACCATAATGACATTTTCAAATAAGATGTCACTGTGAGCTGAGATCCATAACTCTATATTTCAATAGGAGCATGCTACATGTACTCCAAAATTTGTACCCCATTTGTACTCTAGAGGTATGCACCAACATTTTGATGGTTTACAGTTCACACTGACATAAAGTGTCGGTGCGTTAACAAAAATTTATACTAACACAAAGTGTTAATGTGTTAACAAAAATTAACATTACACCAACATTTTATGTTGATATTTCTTTGCTGTATACAAAATGGGGTACAAATTCTTGGG